GAAGTACATTTCAACAGCCTCCTTTACTTTCACTTGAGTAAAGGATAGTTTATTCAGTACTTCTACTTTCACCCAGACGTCATTTTTAAACACGAGTATCTGTACTTCTACTTGAGTAAAGGACGTGTTTACTTTTGCGTCTCTGATAATTATGAAAGTGGGGTATTATGTTGTGTTATGCCAGCATGTGGGTGTGTGTGTGTGGTGTGGTGTGTGTGTGTGTGTGTGTGTGTGTGTGGTGTGTTGTGTGTTGTGTGTGCTGTGTGTGTGTGTGCTGTGTTGTTGTGTGGTGTGTGGTGGTGTGTGTGTGTGTGTGTGTGTGTGTGTGTGTGTGTTTGTGTGTGTGTTATGTGTTGTAATTCCCACTCCAAATCAAAGTCCTGACAGCTGCTTAAATTGTGGCCTGCCTCTCAGGTGATGAATAGCCGCTGCTCGCGCCAACGGATACCTCCATCACTCCCACCTCCATCACTCCACCTCTCATTTTCTCTCCCCTCCCAGCCCCCGCCCCTCCCTGTTACCAGGGCAGATCAACACTACGTCCCGTCGCCCGCTCTGCTACTCCCTGACACTGACATGTATAATTTAAAAACGGGGTTTTTTATTCCCGGACTCCCTGGCTCAGCTCTTCTCGCCAGAAATGATAAATACTGAAATTGGGCTTTTCATATTTCCAGCAAAGTCATTGGGGAAGTGTCGGATTAAACGCCTCCATTGGGTCAGGGAGGGGAGGAGATCCCTCAGGTACAATGCATTGGATTTTGTTTTAAAAAGTGTACAGGGAACCTAGAAGATTCATCTTAAACTTTTCAACATGTTAACCTCTAGACAGAAAAAGGTAAGAGTGCCTAAAAGGTGGTATGTCATCTTATTTCAGAAACACTTTTTGTTATATTCCATGGACATTGCTCTTAACGTCCCGATAAGCAATAAATATTTTAAATGAGTTACATAATTACATAAAGAATGTCATTCTGTGGAAGCCGTAGTACTCCGTAAAACAAGCACGACCAATCATTTTAGCCGGTTTTCTTGCTGTGAGCCATGCTGAATATTAAAGCACTATAATATTCGTTTCAGGCTGAAGCAGACACTGTGAGGCCCTGTACACAACGGAACCCTATCCAAACCATCCAATTAAATGAGCTACTCATAGAGCACCGAAAGCTTTTGGATAAAAACAAACAAGCGGGAGGTGGAAACATTGGACAGAGAAACACAGGTACTTTTGTGAACATTCAGTTAATTTATTTTCAAGTCAAATAAAGTGCAAAATAAGGTGACCTTACATCTTTTAGGATACCTTAAAGAGAAATCCCCTTTTTTCTTCAGAAAAAGTAAATAAACATGTTTTGTCCCTCTCGTTCCTTCAGGGAAATGGCTGAAATAAAAAGACTCCAACAAAAATCATCCCAAGGGCTCTCTCTCTCGCTCTCTCTCTCTCTCTCTTCTTGGTTCTTTTTTTATTAAGTCAAAATAGAATAAATGGCAATGGCTTCTCTGACAGCCTGCCAGTAGGCGTGTCAGGGTGATGGGGTCTAACCATCATATGCGGAGGTTGGGGTTTGGCAGGAGGGGTCCTCTACTTCAGCATGTGGGCAGGCGCAACACAGGCGTATGATGCGCGCGGCCAGCCTGCTTTCAGGGGCCACTCGTGAGCCCGCGCAGGCGGCCGAATCAGGCCGTTCAATACTCCCAAAGGCATTTCAATCCTGGACCCTGGTTTTGGCAGGGGCACATTAAATAAGACCCTCCAGAAAAAACGCGGGCTAACATCGCTTTGATTATGGCGATTAAACAATGCAGGGTTTTTTATGTGATTTTGCGGTGAAATTGCGGAATGTGAAATATGGCGGAAGTTGGCGAAATATGCTAAACATGGCGGGGAAAGAATAACAATTTTTTTAAATATTGGGACTGTCTTATTTATTCTCTCTCACACACCAACCTGCCACATACGTTAAACTCACCTTTAGCTATCATTAAACACATTCAATGTTTATTATTGTAAAAGACAATTGGGCTAGTTTTTAATTCTACACACACACACACACCACACACATCACAGCAGCACACACACACACACACACACACACACACACACACACACACACGCACACAGCACACCAAACACACACACACACACACACACACACCACACACACACTTCTCCGGCTAATTCTGTTTTCATTTTACTCGTCGTTTCGACAGCCTCAATCTTGTAGGCTACTCACTTCGTTTCTTGTAGCCCTCGAAAGGGTTTTGGACGGTCGCCACCGTCGATTTTCTCTTATGCTCCAACACACAGTTGCACGGGGTGCAGAATAGTTTCCCCCCACTTTTTGCCCGGTCTTTAGTAGAAATGTTCGTCGGTAAATGAGATGGATTAGATATTTTCATCTTGGTGTTTTCTCTATCGTGTGAGCTCCACACGTTCACTCTATACAGTGTTGTTTACATTCTGTGATGCGCGAGCTGATGGCGTCACGTCAAGACGAGTTCACTTTTTTTTTCTCAACTTTGTGTGGAAAAATGCGGGGATTATGCGTCCTTTTGATAAATATGCGGCCTTTTAAAAATCTGCGCCATTTTGCTGATTATGCGATAAATTCTGCGATCGCAGAATCGCGTTTTTCTGGAGGGTCTAATTAAAACGTGTTTGTGGCCCTTCAGCAGGGTCAGGATACGGGGTCATCAGGAAAGGCTGGCAGGCATAACCCCTGTCCCCGAGCAGCACTCCACTGAAGAGCCCTGAAGATAAGGAACTTTTCTATAATAAGTTCCACAAAAGGCAGTTTAAGAAGCACAGAACAAAAAGAATGTACAGTTGCCATACCCTGCTCGAGTTTGTGACACAGTGAAGACACCTCGAGTCATGGACTGACCCAGGCCACTTTGCCTCAAGGCTCGTGATTATACACCTGTGGTCACATGTGGCCTGCAAAAGCATTTGGGGTTAACAAGCCTACTTCCACAATAAGAGCATCATAGTCAGTGTAGCATCAATGTTCATTTGAAATGAGTCCATCCAAGTGTGAAACATGTGCTGTGTGAATATTTAAACGTGTGATTTCCTTTAATCAGACTTCAATGTGTGTTCTATAAGTGAATGTGCAAGATGTACCTGAATGTTGAGGCTGTGGAATGATTTGCGATGTACATAGTCGCCTTCATTATCTCCCAGACAAGCAGAGATCGGTATGTGCGTACAGTCGATACAGCCAAGCACCCTGGGACAGTGGGACACCCTGTGAAATAGTAGGCTGCATTTATTATACACCAGTGTACGTCATAGGAACAACATTCACTGTAAAGATATAATCACATATCAATACCTGCCATGTTGTAAAATCCCTCTTTGATCGTCTGCGTGGGACATGTGCCAGGAAACACAACAAAGGTCTCTGCGAGCCCTGTCAGAGCATGTGCGACCTTATGAATAGCACTGCAGACTGTATTCTTGCTGAGGTTCTCTGCATCACCCACAGCATACAGAAAACTACCGGTCGCAAAGTAGCGCAAAGCAATACATACAGTCTGCAGCACAACTTCGATGTTTGGCATTAGATTTAGCAATATATGTCTCGAGGAGCTGACACAGATAAGTCAGCCCTTCAGACGAGAACCTGTATCTTTCATACAAATACTCTTCAGAGAAAGCCAAAGGGTTTAGTCTGTCCCTAAAGATCCTCTCCCGACTGAAAGTGCCGCTCCGAGCTCCACAGTGTCATCGACAAATAGCGACGTCATTTTCACAGAGATTTCATAGGTCGATAGGCGGAGCTTTTATAGACTGATCTCTTAGCCTGCAACCTAACATGCTCCGGACCAGGTTAGCCGCTCAGAATAAGTTACCATGGAGATCTAGCCCGCTAAGAAGTGAACTAGCGTCGTAGGACCGGAAACCCAGAGTTTTCCCTGAAGTAAGTTCGCTAAGCGAAAATCTGGCTTCGTCGTACAGGCCTCAGGTCTTCTTTTCCTCTGGGGACACGCTGGAAGCCCCTCATGCTGACCACAAAAACAGGACCCCACTTTGGGAAACAGTAACAGGGCACCCATGGCAAGAAATACACAAATCACTGCAGGCACTTATCAGAATGATAACCAGGATCGAGTTCACGGTATTTTGTGTGTGTGTGTGTGTGTGTGTTTCATTTTCTCAAAGCAGCACACTTTAAATGAATAGTTCAACATTTGGATGAAACAACTTATTTGTCTTTAGTAAAGATGATTGATACCACTGTCATGTCTGTATGATAAAAAATGAAGCTGTCAGAAGATGGTTAGCTTAGCTTAGCGAAACGATTGGAAACATTGGAATAACTTGATGCTTACTATTGGCACCATGGACTTATAAACACACCAATAGACCACTGCTGGAGTGGTGAAACATTCTTCAGGCATAAACATAACATGCAGCTGACATGTTGTGCGGTTTAGGGGTTTCCCTTACCTGTAGTAAGTTATTTAGGTTGTTATGCATCTAAATTAGGGGTGGGGAACCTTTTTCCTCTCAAGGGCCATTTCAATTTTTTCAACATCCTCCGAGGGCCTTACAAATTATTGTCATCTGCTTAAAACTACTAAAATCACAGCCCATTCATTTCGCCTTTCTTTCATGCTGTGCAAAGAAAAAGTAACCTCTTAATCCAGATATCTTACCATGACCCGCGTATGCATTCACGTGCATGGTTGTGGCATGACCACCAAAACAGAAAGATATTGGACACAAGATGTGTGGAAATGTATGTAATGTAAGTTTCCTATCCATGTGGACATGCACTCAAAACTGTTTTTTCTAAGACTGGCCGGTGTCATTATGAACATGCTCTTCAAAAGTTGGAGTTCAAATTTGAGCTCACGTATTTACTTTTTTTATATATTAATGGCAGAGAAAGGCCTCAAGGCAAGCGTTGAACCAAATAGTCTCCTTTGTCAAAGTTGGGGGAAAATAATATACAGAGCACTTTCGGATATTGATTAGAGGCATTGACTCAAAGGGGAGATTAATAAGGATGGAGCCTCGCTTCATTCCCTCTCAGTTCTCATCCGCTGTCTGCTGCATGTCCGGGCCTGCGACAGCACCAGACCTCCCTGTGATATGGAAACTGGAATTTCCCATTGAAACGATTTTAACGGCAGTGTTCTCTTCATGTTTGCATGGAAAAATATGTATATGAGCGTAACGTGGGTGATCGTGGTTCTGGGAATGTGTAGATGTGTACTTGTGAGTTTTTATGTGGGTGTTAGTTTTTTTAACAAAGCCAAAGGGTACAACATACGTGCTTGTTATTATGTGAGATATTTATTGATTGTGTAAAAGAAAAATGTTTAACAAGCGTCTGTTTGTTGCCTTGCAAATTACTGTTGACAGATTTTGAATGCATTTGAAAATATAACAACACACTTCAGGAAACCTGATTAATTCAAAAGCTCTTTGATGTGGCACTTACTAATCGAGCAATGAATGAAAAGCAAACAAATAAAGACACCTGACAAGAAGTCATTGTTCAAAGGAATTAAAGCCAAATTCAATATATGTTCTATTGTCAATGCACTTTGCTTTAACCCTTAATGAAAACTTCCCTCTTCTGCCGTCCATTCAAAAATAATGTGAAAGCAGCCATTCTCAGAGCAGATTGTATTTAAATTTTCCCCTGTGGATATTCTGACAAAAGTTATGTTTACATCATTTACCAAACCACCTGTGCTTATGCTTTAGTTCTTTTAATTATTTTAAATCCATCATTGTTCACATCCATGTTGTTCTCTTCTTCTTCACTGACTTTGCTTTGTTTCTTGGCACATTAAAACCACATTTTGTTTTTAAAAAGGTTCAGTTTTACCGTAAGATATCAAAGGTAGGTGTATCTTGTGCAAATAATACGGTTTGTCCAAAGTGTGAAAACAGACATCATCAGCTCTGTGGAAACCTTAGAGCACGGTGCTAAATGCTAAAGTCAAGATGTAAAGACTTTTACAAAATGCGAATATGTTGATGTTTATTATGCAAAAATAATTACCATCTTAAGTTAGCATATAAACACAAAGTTTCACATTTCTAGGAGAATTGAAAAATTTCTAGGAGAATTGAAAAAACTGAAAAGTTGACTTTAACTAAATGTTTTGTGTCAACAGATTTCACATTTTTGTTTTAATTGATGTAAATTAATGTAAATTATGCGGAAAAAAAGATAGATCCACAGCGCACACACAAAAACACAATTTGTGTCCAATTTAAATGTCAAGTGTAAAATGACTTCACTCCTCTATGAGTTTGTTGGTGTTTTGTATTGTGTGTGTCAGTGAGCTGGCACAGAGTAAAATCTAATCACCATTTTCAGATATATGTGAGAAGGTGAGTCCGCTGGAATAAATAAAACTCTCCGCTTTCAGTTTCAACACTAACCTTCAGCTGCCTTGTAAAACAGAGAGAGCCACTACTCGAATGCAGCTTTGGCTGCACGCTGAGGCTGTGGGCATTTCGCCAGATAGTAACTCTGAAAACAGACTGGAATTGTCCCACTGGTAACAGATGAAGTTAGGTTTCTGACTCTAACGCCATTTAGCTAATGGAGCAGCTGAAATTGTGTAATAGTCTTTTCTCAGCTAATGTCTGTCTGTAATGTCACATTTCTAATTCGATATAAACATCACATTGGTCATTTATACAGAGAGTTGTAGAGCTTTTGGAAAAGGATACAGGAAATGGTAACGGGGAGGTTGTGAGAAGATAAATGAGAAGATGACCTGGAAAAACACTGAAATACAAGTTCATAGCTTTAGTGAGGACAATAAGTAGCTGGAAGAACGACCCCTGCAGAGAAATGTATCTGAAGACTGCACAATGTTGTAGGTAATGACGTGCTACGTGACCTTCTACATGACTTTTGACATGTTGTCAAAAGTCCTTTATTCAATTATTATCCAGTTCAATCTTCAGGCTTGGATCAGTTTGATAATATGTTGATTTTTAGGCTTATCCGGCGAAAGCAATATTTAATTAGTTTGTTACAGAGTGTTGTAGCTCTTCCTGATTTCCACTTGTTTTATATCCTAGCCTTAAAATCATCATCATCGCCACCATCATCTACATCAACTGTCAACTGAATGTGAAGAGAATAAATGGTTAAACTGCTCTCCTCGTGAGTCCTCATACTTGGACTGGTGTGCCAATGCAGAGGCACTTCAGACAACCCCTCCCCTGCACTGATTGTTTGTGTGTTGGAGCTGCAGACAGTGTACGCAAGGGTTAGTGAAAGTCATCTACACATTTAAATGAAACTGGCTTTCTCAAATGTTCGAACCAACAGTGAAATTCTATTTAATAATTTGCTTCAACCTAAGATTTGAGTTTATGGATCCCACATCTATTTGCTAACAAATCACTCCAAACTAGCGGACCTTTTATTTTTTCAATTTCTAACAATCTTCATCTAATTTGTGACTATTCAAATAAAACAATAGGGGTTGATCACTGAACGACACACATGCAATTTGTGAAAAGGCATAGACAAGTAGACATTTACCTGTTTCCAGGTTAACGGAAGGGTAAGGTAAGCTAAAGAGGATGTGGATAATTGAATGCACTGGTCTTACATTTTCTGTACGGCAAATATATTAAGAGTTGCTGGAAATCTTTACACGATGAGTAATTTCGCTGTTAACATCTAATTGTGTCCCAATTATTGATATTGTTGCTGCACTTACAGCTGTATTTTCATGCAATCGAAATAACTCATTGATGTTGATATATGCTGTCAAGGATGAATTGCCTTAATCGAGTCTTTGCAGATTGATTTTGAAATAATGTGACTGTAAACCACGCCCTCCTACAAGATGGATAATCCCATGGAAACAGTGAAAAGCAGAATGCTTGTATCATTGATGAGATGTAATATTGACCTTATGGTTGGGAATAAAGTGAAACATAAGAAACACTATTGAACAATCCCTTAAAGACAGATGGTATGAACGCCGTGATGTTGTCAAAACACTAAATGTTGCAACATATTTCTTAAGAGGCAAAATATTCCGCTGATTAAAGGCCAGAGGCTTCAAAAGTGATTAATGTGCTTTCATGTTCACAACATACTCTAAAAAATGATGTCTACTGACTATTGATTTGAATCTGAATACTTCATTATAATCTCCAGCCGTCTGACCACAGAGCAGAAGCAATCAGCTGCCTTCAGGTGTAGCAGAACCTCATATCTATTTTAAATGCACTGAGAATAGAAAGAAGCCACACATTTAAAGCTGTTGCACTGCTAACCATGTGTGTGCCCCCCCCCACACACATACACAACAACATATTTCCTCATAGATTTTTTGGAAAATTCTATCTAGAGAATAACTCTGATGCAACCATTAAAACACATGTAAGGTCAATATTATGGTCACACTCCATATCTCACCTTCGGACGGTGTTAATGCTGCAGGCACAGATAAACACACACTGATTCACTTTTTGATTTCCTCACTGAGCTGGAAATCACC